GTTTACCGGAAAATACAGGTGAAAAATACCGTCAAGAGAGATACAGTTGCCTGATGCTCGGTTGTCCTGGTCCATCTGACATTATTTCAGTTGCGTAGCCGTCTTCTGGGTAAACACAATGCTCATTTGGATTGTGAACACCGTGAAAATAAACTCATATTTCGGCTGTCAGACAAATCGTATTGACTGAACAAACGTTTCTTACTCATAATTGGCTGTCTGTAACGCTTTATCGAATTATTCTCAGCCATCCGAATCCCACAGTGACTTCCGATGAAGCATGATGGAAGCGGTGCCACGGTCTTCTTGTCTTTGTGTTGGAGGGCAAGGATAGATAGATAGGTGGGTAGAATGAGGTGGGTAGCGGTCACAATTTCTCAGTGTGAGCAAATAATTACTGGTCTGGTGTGAAGTCGCTCAGCAGTATGCATCACTGAACACACGCGCTTTCTCCGATTGCGAATGCATGGATGTGAAGTCGGACAGAAAACGGGNNTGCGCACAAAAACTTTTCAATTATAGCCTGTTACTCATGCGCATCGGTTAGTGTCTACATAATGTCGAATTCAGTGAATTTAGCACAAGTTCGGATACCCATTTTCTGATAATTTTACCTGTCACGTCACATCTTGTCGGCACAATGAGAACAGGATGATTCTGCATTTGTCTGTATAGTGGTCAATCGTTCAGTGTTTGCCCCTGACGTACGTTGAGCTCTCAAGTCCGAGGTTCGAACCGCTTCATCACCACCCAACTTTGGTGGTAGACAACTTCCCCAGTGGGCTTTTATGGGGCTCACCACTTGGAGTCTCCGGATTTAGATTACCGGTTATCATGAGTGAACCGCGGGTCCTCTTATCTATGGCATTGCCCTACCACTTTTCGTTTCACACAACTGCGTGTAATGAAAAAAATTAATGTCACATTTGTAGGACCACGGAACGTCTTACGCAGGTCAATTCCAGGCAATTGGGGGAAATTATTAGTGACACTGAACACTGCTTTATGCCACAATCATTCCCCATGCAACATTTTTACCACATATGGTTTCGTTTCAATCTTTAATAGCTCATAGTTGTACGAGCATGCTAATATTGCTTATGTAATATGCTAACGCTCTCTCAGTGGGCTCAATATACCTGTATTATTTATTCATTCCTCATTCGTATCTATGACTGCGAACTAACGCCGAATGCATCGACAGAGAAACAGTCTAGATCTGTGTGCACAAAACCATCCGTACGCGGTGAACAAGGCGTGCGCGCGCATGTACACAATACGCAGTATGTGTATTGTATCATCTAACTAAACAGACAAACCGAACAATGAAAATCTCCCAATGCCATCACAAGTTTGCATACTTTGAGTTTACGATAAAAGCGGATCAGTAATATCTGACACAGTCCACACCATATTATTATTATCCTGATAAGTTGTTTATGACCTGTGGCTGCAAGTTTAATTTACTGATAGATTGGACTGGGCTGCATTGCATTGTGAAGTGTTATTCTCCCATATTCTGCCAGGTCGATTTCATTGAATTTTTCCCCATAAATTTTTTCACCACTAAAGTCTTTTATGGAACTTTTCGCAGACTGGCCACTCAATTCGCTCAGTATTTTTCGCCAGCCCCAATGACGACGCACTACTTTGCATCGAATAGGTTTTCAGTGGAACTTGTGCAACAATAAATTGAAAAACAAATATCAATAATTTTGTGCAATCTCCTCTGGATTTGCATATTCGCTGGTGGTGTTGACAACCAATCAATCAGTGTATTCATTTACTGTTACAATACTGTCCTTACTCGAGTATCGAGTTCAGGCAACCTGTTCGCTTACATCGACTAGTGTATAATGACGACATAAAGAGGAGAGAAGTAAACCCTTGCTGTTAATTCAGTCTTTCCAGGATGAAGATTTGTTTCATCTTAGTAACAAGCCTACCCACCGGAAGTTGACTCTCCGTCAAAGTAGCGACGGGATGACAACACACTCGGAGTGCGCGAATGAGGTGAAAGGCGAGAAGCGAGCTTTTGTCCAGTTTCAACGCTCCCCCCCGTCCCAAACAACCGCCCAACTGCTAGCAACACACGTGCACTGCACGCAATGAATGCATCACGTGATTACCAGTTGTGATTTGATCATTATGTGTTCGCGATCGACGAATTCGGTTACCAACCCTGAACGAATGTTCAACTCACAGGTTTAATCACGTGATCACCAGTAGATGAGTTCTGATTAGATTGAAAGGGTGATCTATTGATGATGGGTGGAGTGAGGATTCCGGTATCGGTTCCACTCACGAGTAAGCGTGCAATAAACAGAGGAACAGAACGAGAATCGGGATGGAGATATTGTAATTACCCAACGGGAGTAGACAGAATTTTGAGTCCCATCAGGTGTTCGATAGTCACTACGTGTTGCAATGGGAAATGAAGTAGAGAAAATCGTTTGCCCGAATGAAAATTGAAAGATCAAAACAACCCGTGGTTTATTTCAAAATTCTAGAAATGAAAAGTAGTTCAACCAATTTTTTCGAACAGCAAACAATGTTCTTTTTGGAAAAACCCAATGTTGTGTCAGTCCGCTTTGCGGCTTATTTAAGTGGAGTTTATCGTAGTTCTGTATCCCTCTAGTCTTTCTGGCCACGAAATCCATAGCACTTTATCATGAAACGATACGTGGTTGTGTTTGACAATTAAAAATACAAAGTGAAGACGCAAAGAAATTTCTTTTCGATATATCGCTTCAGGCATTTACATATACAGTTCGATTAGTCAGTAATATATACGTAAATGCCTGAAGCGATATATTGAAAAGAAATTTCTTCGCGTTTCGAATTTGTTCTTATGCATTAATGGGAATATTTTACGAATTAAAAATA